CTTCAACGGGTTCTGGACGCGGGGGAGGAGCGGGGCACAGGGCTCCAAGGCAAACATTAATGACCCCAGCACACCCCAGCCCACCTTTTTTGTACCTCTGGGGGGGTGGCTGCTTGCTCGGAGGAGTGAGTCACGGGTTAGGTAACAGGCAGAATGCAATTAGCGGCCCTGGGCACCAATTACCAGCTGTAACAGCCATGTGCAAGCCCCTGTAATGAGTCACCAAGAGCAAGATTTCTCCCTCGAGGGACGGGATCGACGTGTGCATGTGTGTGTGTGTGCCACCTTGGGAAGTTGCCAGCCATTTCCACGCTGTCCCCCTGCCCTGGCAGAGCTGCAGCATTTGGGGGACTCCGTCCCATGCACCCCCTGCCGAGGACGGGTCTGTCAGCCAGCCCGCCCCAGGGCAGGATTGGGCACCGAATGGCCCTCCCATCCCTGGCACCCCAGCAGAAAAAGGTGTCTCATGGCTCAAGCAGCAGGCTGTGCTCACCTCTAGCGTGGGGCATGTTCTGATTTGTATGTGGTTGGGTCTGACCTGTTCAGACCCAACCATGCTCTCTGCAAGGCGGTTTTCAATTATGTTTGTGCGTCTTTTAGGGACATCACTAAGGTTCCTCTGCCCATGTTCCCCTTTCCCGCCCCCCCCAGGATGATCTCCTAGGCCAGGGCTGGGAGGTGCTGCAGGATTCCTGGGAGCTGTGGAAGCTGCCTTTACAGCTGCTGGGGCCTGCCAGCACTGGGCTGGGGGCTTTACACTGCCAGGGGCTGTTTCAGTGTGGCTGAAGCACTCGGGGAGGTTAATTCCTGGCTCAGGAGCAGTGGCTAACCACGGGAGCAATCCCAGCGTTTAGCACAGAGGCAGCGGATCAGTCACACCAGCTTCACATCCCTGCAGCAGTGTAAGGCCTGAAGGTGAATGATTCCCCCCCTGCCCCAAATCAATGTAAGAAAGCATCGCTATGCAAAGGGATCTAAAAATAAAACCTGCAGGGACCCTCCGAAGGGGGATGGGAGACACTCTGGAGACGGTTTTGCTCCAGGGGAAGGCCAGGAGTCTCGGAAACTCAGAGAAATACATGGGAGCAAGGAGGAGAAGTTTGATTCAGTGGTTTCTTCCTTACAAAAGAAAAAAGTTGTAGCCAGGGAGCGGGCTGGGTGAAAGCGTGTGCGTGAGCACACCATTTAGCCCTGCAGGGAGGTCTTCCCTGTGTGCCTGGAAAGTGTCTGTATTCAGACACATGGTGGGAGTGTGGAACAGAGGGACCCTGATCCCTGGCCTGACCCCCTTTTTTAAGGTCCCGTGATGCACGGGGGGGGCCTTTTGCCACACGGAGCCACATCTCCCCTGCTATTTCCCTTGGGTCCCCATCTTATTACTTTTTATTTTTATTTTTTTGGTATGCTGAGATTGAATGCCCACAGCTTGCAGCTCCCTGAGGAGGCGCTCTGATTTCAGCAGCTTATGTAGAGCACTACCGTCCTGCTGTCCCCACGCTTGCTGCCACAGGGAAGCTGGGGTGGGGGTGTGGGTATCATCCCCCTCCTGGGATGGTTGTCTCTCTGTACGCCCCGGCTGCTCTGTAAAGTGGCCTAAAGGTAGTGTGAAGGGGACCTTCATGGTTATTCACCCCATATCCCATTGAACCAGCAACAGCATGCAGCAATCTGTGATGCTGAACCCAAAATTTCCCATCCGCAGTGGTCTTGGGAGGGGCATCTCATGCCTTTTGAGCGTCTCTGATATCCCTGTCCCTGGGGAAAGCCTTCTCCATGCAGGATTTGCTCAGCTACCCTCAGCATGCTGGCCATCATGGCCCCAGCCTGCCCTCCTGGCCTCTTTGGCCTTGTTGGGAGCTGGAGGGCTGGGGTGAAGATGGCATGGAGGAGATGTACAGCCATGCCTGGCGGCGGGTGGTGTGAAAGAGAGGGAGGTGCCGGTTTCCTCCTCTGCCTGTGGGACTTTCTGGGAGAGGACGGAGGACCCCCCTGCCTCTGCCTTGCCCGGGGAAGGGGGAAAGGAAGCGTCATCCTGGACAGCACAAGAGCCACAAGGAACAAGTCGCTGAGCTCAACCCTGGTGCAGGGGGCAAGCACCTGGGTGGGATATAAATCCAGCGGTGACGCTGAGCCATGGGCATTGAAAGGGAGGCAGCGGGCCCTCCCTTGCGCTCTCTGGCGCTGGAGTAGCTGTTCCTGTGAGTGTCGCTGGCTCTGCACCCACCTGGGCGGGAGACTGTCCTCGGGCATCCCTGGTGGGGCTGTGAGGTGGAGGGAGGGTGGCTGGAGGCAGAGGGGAAGGGACCTTCAAGAGTGAGAGGGTCAGGCTCGTTGTTTGGGGAGAAGGGTGTCAGCAGTGAGTGTCAGACCCTAGTTTGAGACTCTGGGGCATATGGGGTGGGGGGAGCAGGGGACACACAGTCCTGCTTTGGGGAGGCAGGGTGGGATTAAAGGGCAGGGCAGCAATTCAGAGCAGCGCTCACATGTAAAATCTGGGGCTGGGGGAATTCCTTGGGGAAACATCGCTCTTCCCAAGAGTGATGTAGGACCCCACGCCTTAACTTCACCCAAATCCGTGCCACCTTCCCCTCCTCCCGCAAGAGCGCGGGGCTGCAGAGATCGGGCTGGGCTCTCGCAGGGGAGCGGGAACAACAGCCAGGCAACAGGATTGTCCTCCCAGAGCAGCTGCTCGTCACCTCGGAGTTGTCCCAGCCTGGCCATGCCCCGGTCAGGCGAACACTCCGTCAGACCCAGGGCTCTCCCCCGCCTCCCCTCCATCCTCTTCCTCCCCCGGGGCTGGCGCTCCG